ATCATGTTTCTAGTCTATTGCATAGTTACAATGTGTAACCATTGATGTCAAAGGACCAGGATTGGTAAACACTGTTGAAGTGTATAATTGTAATACATACATGCAGAAACAGCATCATTCAAAGAATGGAGTTTGATACTCCTGGTATTGGATATGACTGAAAAAGAATGTCTCACAGACATTCATACCTGAAACGCACCTTTATTTGCCAAGGTAGAGTATATGATCAGTGAATATATTCAATGTACAGGCTACAATGTGGGGATCTCATGCTTGGTAATAACTACATGCATATAGGACTTGCATCCTTGGCACAATAAAGTTATATTATATTCTACTCAATCCATAGGCTTCATTAATGCCATTCAGACTGTTTGAAGTTGATAAAACAGGCTATGATAGTTGAGGTTCATAGCTAGGTTCTGAACTAATATTTATACCAAACGTTTTAGGGTCCATACACAGATCGGCTACATAGCTAGCTACACATCCATAGGCATATAGGTATTTTTATACTCCACTACACAATAAGCAAGAAAATAGTTAGCTAGCTACGTTACTTCAGCTGCATTGCATGGGAAGTATCATCAAGGCAAGCTTACAAAATTATACATTCAATTTGCAGTAAATGCTTTATCTAGCTAGATTCTTTACATCCACTGTTTGCTGGTTTCCCCAGGAGTCCCTAAAACAAACAACACAAATTACAATTTCATACTCATGTCACAACACCCATAAAGCTAGCTAGCTGGCTAATGCTCGCTAGTCAGCTAGTTTGCTAAATAGCAATTTTCGTAAATTAACTTTATGACAAAAAAATATGCATCATCGTTTGTCTCTACATTAACTAATATATTCCTCTCAACTGTACATTTGTTGCATGACTCGTTATGATGTTATAATTACTTACATTTTCTTCCCTCCTAGTATTTTTGTCAGCCATCTTTGCTGAAGAAAGTCACCATCATGGGTCCCATAGCGTCAAATTCGTCATGGGAACCACTTTATATGATTGGTCATCCCTCAGCGGTCACAGCTGGTGATTTCCATAAAGTTGGGAAATGCTGAACTTTTTCACCGCCTCCCACTGAAAATGATTGGGAAGCAGTGTTTCACTGCGTGCTAGCTAAACGGGGCATTAGGGAAAAAAACATGTCTCCATTGACAGTCCATGTTAATTCATGGCGGTATTTTATGGGGATAGGAAGAAGTTAGGTGACTTGGTGAGAGGTATCAGTAGCTTCACTAGGCTTAATTCTGGCACGAATCACCCCCCATAGCCTACAAAAGTGATCCAGGATTTATATCCGAGAGGCAGTTTCTGTCTATCTTAATACTGTACTGTCTTTGAGCGAACCTTTCCGGTAGATTTTTGACGGCACGAGAACGAATGGTAGACACTGACAGGCAATCACAAACAGGAACTGTGTTTTTGTCGACTTTTTGAGTAGGCCCAATATTATTTTCACCGGCTGTATAACAAGTCAAGTTTGTGTAGCTACACAACACATTGTGAGAAGATGAGACTAAGGTCTCGAAGTATTGCTCACCCTTCATCAGCACGGGTTAACGGTCGGCGGACCTCAAAGAGAGCGGCGCGAAACATAACTCAAAAGGTAAATCAAGAAACTTGTTTTGCCAAAATTGCTTGGCTTAATATGAAAACTTCGAATGCGTATTACGCACGATCGTTGGCGAACAAACTACAGAAGCTAACTAACATAGGAGCTTGGTAACTAACTTCTTTAGCTAGCTAGTTTGTAGCTAACAGTTAGCTAACTAGCAGTTGTCACTAGCTAGTTACCACAACCACAAAGTCAAAATTGGCTATCGGTAAGATTTATGAAAACAAAAATGAGCTTTTTGGTCTTAATTTAGGGTTAGTCATATGTTTATCAGTGTGGTTAATGTTAGGTTTATAGTCAGATTATTATAAGAAGAGAAACTGTAGAAATAGGTGGGTTTAGCCATAATTATGACTGTGGCTGTGGTAACTAGTGACGACCCCTAACTAGCCGACTCGACATGTTTGTACAATTCGAAAAGTAAAGAAACAATTACATACATGTGGCCAATCGACGGTTGCAATTATGGTGCTTTCAATACAACTGTAACTCGGAAAAAGGAGGTAAAATCATGATGTCAGTGATTTAAGTCGGAAAGAGGGAGCTCTAGAAAAATGGCCGAGTTTCCGACTTGAAATGTCGAGCTGGATAACCGTTCATAACCATTTTTCCCAGTCGGAGCCCGTTTTATCATCGAGTTCCTAGTTGTCTAGAACGCTCGGAAGTCGGAGATATCCAAGTTGTTTTGAACGCGGCATTACAATGTAGCAGTCATTGCAGGGGCAAACAGAGCAAAACGATTGTTTCCAATGGACAAATTCAGGTAGGTCCCTCCACTGTTTCGTTCTGTTTTCTTCCGTTTAAAGGGTAGGAAACATTAGTTTTTACTCACCAAAGTACCAACACAGTGTGGTCAAAGACTTAATAACTTAGTTGTAGTCACGATCTGGTTACCTATAACTACAAGCAGTTCTGTTTTAGCGTTTTTAAATATTAACTTATTTTCTGATCTCTTCCGAACTTCCCACAATGCACTATTTCTCAACGTCATATGGAGAACCAGTGTTACCTAGCTAGCTCCAGCTGGCTAATGTTAGCTACTAGCCATACTACTAGTTGGCTAGCAAGCTGATTTGTAACAAATTAAAGTATTTGCTTGGAAGTTGGCTGAAAAATAAAATGTAAACCAGTAGTCATGAGTGCAAATGATTTGGTTTAATTTGAAGTTGTACATTTTGAAGTAGGGATGTTAACCGTTAATCGGTTAACCATCAAATACATTTGACCGGTCATGCTTATCGGTCTATAATGTATTTGCATAATTTTGTGGAATAAATTGGCGCTCATGTATTTTCGTTAGTCATCATGCATTTTATTTATCACACAAACACAGAATACAAAGCCTAGTTTGAGGACCAGAATAGTTTACCACCTGTCAGACAGTGGGAGAGTAGCGCCTCAAAAAGCCTGTAGGCTACTGGAGTGAAACCTGCTTTTGTAAGCCCAGTCATTGTGAAACAAATAAATAACACGCGATTGCATTTAGAATTATTAACTTTACTAGCCACGATTTTAAAAAGGAGGAACTCGTAAAGCGCGTCTCCCATTCGCCATTCGGATGCATAGGCTGTAGTCAACGGTAGGCAGGCTATCAGCGCATCACCCACCACTTTTGTAATGTGAGCTTGAGGCCGTATAATTGTTTGAAACCTGAATGTTTTACTTTACTTCAAATAATGACGCATGTCTTACCTTGCTCCAACGTAGCCTTGCGAAAATCCATCCATAGAAACGTGGAGGCAATTATTTTATAAAGACTTCCTCATGCCATTAACCAGCATTTCTCTCCTGTTTATTGGTTTTCATATATATAAAAAATATATATATAAAAAAAAGATGCCATTTAGCAGACGCTTTTATCCAAAGCGACTTAGTCATGCGTGCATACATTTTTGTGTATGGGTGGTCCCGGGGATCGAACCCACTACCTTGGCGTTACAAGCGCCGTGCTCTACCAGCTGAGCTACAGAGGACCATATCAACTTTCTTTCCTTCTCCAGAAGCCCAAGGCACAATCCTAGTCATATTAGCAACCCATCATAGTAGTTGCTATTAGATTCCCCCTCTTTCTAAGTTTCTAATGGAGATGTTCATCTCTGTCACTTATGGAGCTGCTCTCATTAGGTGCGCAGTTTAGAACTGTGTTTTCCGCAAATTGCATTTGGGCAAATGTTTGAAATACGTTTTATTAGCTGCTTCATTACAGGAGTTGCATGTTCAATAATAGGTTTTAGCCTTTTGACTGTAAGATGATAGGCTTGCGATTGTTGCATGTTTCTATTAAGCCTTGTATGCATACACAGTATCAGAGCGGAAGAGGCGAAGAGAGAGGTTTCACTCTCGCCTAAATCTGTCCAAAATAAGTCCAATGCGTTTCTATGGGCTTATGTTGGACCTAAGCTTGTCGCCTGCCTTCCCGCCTTGGAACGACTCCCATTGTTAGGGTGGAAATATAAGCATCTCGCCATTATATACAGATCTCTGATGGTATTTTCTGTTGGTCACGTCATTTTACTGTTTGGAAAAAATGTAGCCGTTTGTTGACCGGTTAATGAGGGTCAGTTAGTCGGCAGCAACATTTACCGAAATTTGCATCCCTACTCTGTATCTGTATGCGGTACGCGTGTGATAAATAAGAAACATAACGAACATACTGTACACACCAATTTAATTCCACTAAATTATGCAAATTACCTATAGACCGATAAGCATGACCAGTCAAATGTATTTACATCGACTGGTATTTCCATCAATGAATAGGTTAAAAAGCATTATTTCCCAATGGGATTTTTTTCTTATTTTCCCAGACAATTGACCGGCAGCAATTTTATTCATTGGCTTTAATATTTAAAAAACTGCCAAAAGCTGGCTATTACCAGCTAACAAACTCTGACACATGTACACACACTACATATGCCCACACACATAACATACACACACATGCATACTGACGCCACACACTCACCACATACGCTTCTCCTACTGTCTAATCTATCCTGTTGCATAGTCACTTTACCCCTATATGTACAATACATAGCTACCTCAATTACCTTGTACCCCTGCACATTGTCTCGGTACTGGTACTCCCTGTATATAGCTATATTCTTTTTTACTCCTTATATATAGCCATGTTATTTTTACTCATTATTTGCATTAGTTATTCACTGTTTATTTATTCCTCGTGTCACTATTTAAATATTTTACTTTATATCTTTAACTCAGCATTGTTGGAAATGGACCGGTAAGTAGCATTTCACTGTTAGTCTACACCTGTTGTAAGTCGCTTTGGATATAGCCTTTTTAATCAAGGTTTGGGTCAGCCTGTATGGGAGGCAACTCAACAGTTTTTATACTAGAGCCTAATATCTAACTTACATGCAGTTGGTAGGGGGGCATTCTGATCCTTTTGATGAGAGCTTTTGGCTACTTTTTCATACTGTTGTCACAATTATATTTTCTGTGCATAGGATGAAGAGGTACAACAGCCAGACGACCAGTCACTCTACTCTGATGATATCCCCACTGCTACAAAGCGCCCTCTTGTACAAGGGCGTGGGAGGAAAAGGGTGACAGCCCCAGGCTATGAAGACCGAGAAGGTACCCATTTATTTTAGTGAATGCAATTGCTCTATTGTCATTTATTTCAAAATGGCAACTCAATACTGACTGAATCATTCTGTATTAATTTCTAGATCTGGGCTTCAAGACACCTGTTAATGTGCGCCATCACCGGGTGCTGTCGGAGCTAAACCCCTCTCCCCTCAATTCCACTGTGCGAAATATCTACTCCCCCATTGTCTGTTTCCTCACTCCTACAAAGGAAAGTAAGTATAGGTAAATGTTGTATATCCTATACTATGTTCAAAATTGCATACATCCACACTATTTCGTAAGCATACAGAGTGTGTTTTAGCTTTTGTATGCTGTAAGGGTAGTCTGCCTGAAAGACCAGAGGCTAATTCATGATGTGCAGTTTTTCAGAGCGTTCAGATAGAAATGTATTGTGTAAAACAGAACAGACATTCTTCGTCTTGGAGAATAGGCCATCATGGTTTGGCACTTTCCTGGGTCCATTGGGTAGGCCTTTTTGTTTACAGAGAAACTGTCACTTGTGAGTTTCAAACAAACTACTGTATAGGCTAGCAAGGACTTGCATTGTTTATCAAACATGCATGTAATTCTGTGATTCTTGAGGCAAGAGTGGATGAGGTCAGCACAGTAACAGCTTAGTTGGTCCAGTGATATACCAGGGTGAATGAGTCCTATTCATTTTAATCAAGGCAGTTTTTTCCTATTCAGATGCAAGAACCCCCAGCAGTGGTGATGTGATGAGCCCAGAGCAGTGTGTGTTTGGCTATGGTTCCATTAGCCTTCTCAATGGAGATGTGGACCACAATGACATTTTCAGCCCGTGAGTTGTGCCGTTTTTATATTGTGTTCTTGGTGCTGTGGAATACAATTATTGGTGCAGCATACTATAACTTATATTATGAAATGCAATGTCTACTTAATGAGTTGAATCACCTATGGATCATCTGGGGTTATATTAAAATGCAGGATCAGAGAGTTAGCAACAAACCCTCCAAAATGGTATTAAATAACTTTGTAAAGTCAGCTGGCCAGCCTGGCCAACTTAACAGTTCCTGCTTTGTGATACACCTCTGCGGAAATAATCCACTGCCTGGAATCGCTTTCCCATTGTCTATGGTTCTGGAGGACTCACGCCCTTGTCCTGAAAGTAATTTGAATCCCTTGCATGGTTGTCTTTAGCTTCACCTTCATCAATAACATTCCATCCAAGTCCCAGCAATCCAAACCCTGCATAAGAGACATCCCACCTAAGACGAGGAGTACGCCCCAAGCCACCCTAGTTTTAGATCTGGTGAGTGTTGGGTTTACCTTTTTGAGTTCAGTGACTAAACAAAGCATTTACCAGTGTAATTCCCCTGCAACTCACTTGCAGGGGGTCTGGTTTACAGCCTGATATACAAGGCTTATAAAAATGTATCGGTAGGTTGTATCTCCATGTTAATTGCCTGATTCTATTATTATTTCTTTGATTTATTAAATCAAACACTATGTGGTACCAGTTGTTTGGAATGATTTGTGTGTTCTAGGATGAAACACTCATGTACAGCTCTCTGAATGTGATTGAGGATGCAGAGCACACCTTCCACACATGCTTCCAGGACAATCAGTACAACGTGAGTGAATCGACCAGTTCCTTCTAGACTTGTAAGGCCTCAGGAGGGCAGTGATAAGGGCTTTTTTATTCTTTGCTTGAATGACTGGTGTTGAGTTTATTATTTAAAAAAAATGGGATGAATACCTGTTTTATAATGACCGTAACAGAAAATATTTTAATATCTTCTCTTAACTCGATAGGTCTACGTGATTCTACGACCACATGTAAAAGAATTTCTGGAAGCCATGACAAAACATTTTGAGGTATGCTTCTAGTTTTAATTGACAAGTTCTTATGTGTGGCGTACCCGTATGTTTTTTGTTGTTGATACATGCTCAACTTTCCCCCATTATGTGTAATATGTTTGTTGTTAAAAGGCCCAATTACAGTCTAAGCCCTTTCTATGCTGGGGGGGGGGTGTGTGTGGGGGGGGGGGTTCTACTAAGCTACAGTCGTGGTCAAAAGTTCTGAGAATGACACAAGTATTGGTCTTCACAAAGTTCGCTGCTTCAGTGTTGTGAGATATTTTTGTCAGATGTTACTATGGTATACTGAAGTATAATTACAAGCATTCCATAAGTGTCAAAGGCTTTTATTGACAATTACATTAAGTTTATGCAAAGAGTCAATAATTGCAGTGTTGACCCTTCTTTTTCAAGACCTCTGCAATCCGCCTTGGCATGCTGTCAATTAACTTCTGGGCCACATCCTGACTGATGGCAGCCCATTCTTGCATAATCAATGCTTGGAGTTTGTCAGAATTTGTGGGTTTTTGTTTGTCCACCCGCCTCTTGAGGATCGACCACAAGTTCTCAATGGGATTAAGGTCTGGGGAGTTTCCTGGCCATGGACCCAAAATGTCGATGTTTTGTTCCCCGAGCCACTTAGTTATCAATTTGGTGCATTTTCCCCCATATTCCATCCAGTTTGCTTTATTTTGATAATATATTACACTTGATCTTTCTTGAATAAGTTTCTCAATTTCCTTTTGTTTTTCCTCTAATTTATTCTGAGCCTCTGTTAGCAATAAAAACTATCTGTTCTGTTAGACCTATTTCCTTTGTTAGTATGGACTCTTGACCTAAATTGCTTTTTGTTTTCGAGATGAGTACTGAATTGCATGGCCTCTAAAGGCACATAATAGTTTGTAGGCCAAACCGTTTGGACGCTACAGAAGATTTTGTGAGAAGACCGATTTGTCGGGATTTCTCATGGTCTGACAAACAGCACTCTAGCTCTGTCACCTTTCACCACACATGCGGTGGATTGAGATGCATCCAATGCGCAAAAAAACGTTGTTTAAACTGACGGATTTGTATAGGGATTTTTTTAATGATGCTAATTAGATTTCAGCAGGGGCGTGGACCGACTCTAGGGGGTTAAAAGGCCAGTTCATTAAATATATCAAATGTGTTTGTTTTTACAGATGTTTGTTTATACATCTGCGAAGAAAGAATATGCAGAGAAAATACTGGACATCTTGGACCCGAAGAGAAGGCTTTTTCGGTATGAGAAGTTAACATTGTAACTTTTGTTACTGTCTGTTATTTTAGCCATACTTGTTTTGCAGTATTGTTTTAGTTTTAGAGATATTGCAGCTGCAGAGTTTTGTGTACCAGAGACAGGCTGACAATATAATCTACTTTGAATAATTTTATGACCATATTTCAGTTGATATCAGGATGTACTTTAAATGTGCAGAACTCTCCTTTTATTTCCTTTTGTAGACACCGTTTGTATCAACAGGACTGTACCTGTGTTCTGGGGCACTATGTCAAGGACTTGGGTGTACTTGAGAGGGACCTTGCTAAGACAGTGGTTTTGGACAACGCTCCACACACGTACCCCTACCATGTGCGTACCCCTACTATGTGCATTTGCTGTGATGTTATTCATTTAATTATACAATGCTTTGTTGTTTTTTTGGAAGCAGAGTGGTTTTAATAAACTAAACTACTTCCTACTTTATTTCTGCAGCTGATGAATATGCTTCCCATCAAGAGCTGGTCTGGAGATAATGATGACAAGGAACTTCAGAAGCTCATCCCGTGTCTTGAGAGACTGTCCGGAGCAGTAAGTTGACAGTGATTTGGTATCCCACCTGACGGGGCATAAAAGTCTTATTTTAGATATTTTATTTTTAAATCAGGCAATTTCCATAATTCACTACCTATACTGAACAAAAATATTAAGGCAACATGTAAAGTGTTGGTCCCATGTTTCATGAGCTGAAATAAAAGATCCAAGAAATTTTCCATACGCACAAAAGGCTTATTTCTCTCAAATGTGCACAAATGTGTTTATATCCCTGTTAGTGAGCATTTCTCCTTTGCTAAAATAATCCATCCACCGGACAGGTGTGGCATATCAATAAGCTGTTTAAACAGCATGATCATTACACAGGTGCACCTTGTGCTGGGGACAATAAAAAGCCACTCAAATTTGCAATTTTGTCACATAACACAATGCCACAGATGTCTCAAGTTTTGAACGAGTGTGCAATTGGCATGCTGACTTCAGGAATGTCCACCAGAGCTGTTGCTAGAGAATTGTATGTTCATTTCTCTACCATAAGCTGCCTCCAAAGTAGTTTGAGAGAATTTGGCAGTATGTCCAACCGGACTCACAACCGCAGACCACGTGTAACCAAGACCTCCACATCTTGCTTCTTCAGCTGCGTGATCGTCTGAGACCAGCCACCCGGATAGCTTATGAAATTGAGGAGTATTTCTGTCTGTAATAAAGCCCTTTTGTGGGGAAAAACTCATTCTCATTGGCTGGGCCTGGCTCCCCAGTGGGTGGGCCCCTTCCCAGTCATGTGAAATCCATAGATTAGGGCCTAATTAATTTATTTCAATTTAATGAATTCTATATGTAAACTGTAACTCAGTAGAATCGTTGAAATTGTTGCATGTTGTGTTTTATTTATGTTCAGTATACTTGGTGTCTTCTAGGATTAAATCCAGTTTGACAAAACAAACATCACACATGCTACAGAGATCTAATTTGGAAAGTGGGTATAAAATGGAAAAATATATGTGTGGGTGTGGAGAAAGCAGAGGAACTAACCTTGAGTCAATCACAAACACTTGGCCAGTATTTTACAAAATACCACAAGTCAAACTTGTCTTATGTTTGGAAATGTCATTCAAAAAGACTGGGCCACCACTTGTATTCCACAAGAAACATCACCAGCAATTGACCTACTAAAAAAATGGTTGTGTTTTACTAATTTGAAAGCACAATTTTTCCGTAGGATGATTTCCGGGAAGTACTGAAGAGGAGGACTGACCACTTTCACAGATTGCTCTCAGAGGATTGAGAAAAGGCTTCTGATCATCCTTATCCTGTAACGTGTTTAATTGTGAACATGAACTGGATCTTTGTGTACTATCCTAGCCCTTCTGTATGATCCCTGAATGACCAGTAGGTTACTGATGTAGTGTGTTAATTTCAAACATGTACAGTTGGTATATCGTTTCCAAACAATATCGCTCTGCAGAGCAATACATTCCCAATAGTTGAAAAAATGAACCACTGTATATAATAACACAACTTGAAATAGCCTATGTTTATACTTAATCATGCTAATTTCTTGACAGAAAATAGCGCTTTAAAAGTGATGTACATATTGTTTGATTATTTTAGTGACGAGAGGATTTTTCACCTCAGCAAAGCCAGAGCATTTTCTGTAACTAACAAAACAACTTAAACCATATTGGTGTTTTTCAGCTTTATTAGAAAAATGTCATGATTTTAGTCTGTGTGGATATCTCTTCTGGGGTCGAGGCGATCCCTAATTTGATGTTGGCTCGTGTTGAATTTTTTATGTGCATATCTATGCGTGCCTTTTAGTAGGCCTACACTGCAGAACTGTCACGAATGTGTAGCCTACTCCCAACCAAATGACTTTCATGGTTAGCCTATTTCATCGTTTTATTTTTACTCATCTGTGAAATGTTGTAAATGTATATGGAATTCTGACATTGCATTGACCTACAGGAATGAATTTTCAAAAACGAACTTGTCAAACTTGAACATATCCCCATCCCCCCTTTAAACGGACTGTCTCACCAAAGCTACTGTGAATTTCTACTCAATGTTTCCCCCATATGCTGCTAGAACCCAAAGACGGCTGTTGTCGGTTTCCCCCACATGAAGCTAGAATCCAAAGACGGCTGTTGTCGGTTTCCCCCACATGAAGCTAGAACCCAAAGACGGCTATTGTCGGTTTCCCCCACATGAAGCTAGAACCCAAAGACGGCTGTTGTCGGTTTCCCCCACATGAAGCTAGAACCCAAAGACGGCTGTTGTCGGTTTCCCCCACATGAAGCTAGAACCCAAAGACGGCTGTTGTCGGTTTCCCCCACATGAAGCTAGAACCCAAAGACGGCTGTTGTCGGTTTCCCCCACATGAAGCTAGAACCCAAAGACGGCTGTTGTCGGTTTCCCCCACATGAAGCTAGAACCCAAAGACGGCTATTGTCGGTTTCCCCCACATGAAGCTAGAACCCAAAGACGGCTGTTGTCGGTTTCCCCCACATGAAGCTAGAACCCAGGCCATTTAGAAGTCTCTTTTATCCAAAGTGACTTAGTCATGCGTGCATACATTTTACGTATGGGTGGTCCCGGGAATCAAACCCAATATCCTGCCGTTGCAAGCGCCATGCTCTACAGAGGACCACATGCCTCCTAGGGTAACTAGTTCTCAAGTCTCCTGAGCTGTGTCCTAATAGTTTCCCATTACTTTCCTAATTTCCTTTATTTCTACTGAAAGGACCTGACTGATGAAAGCAACATAGTGAAGAAACGAATCCCTTCACCTATTGGTGGTCAAGCAGGAACGGAAGATATTATCAAAGACTGTTGGGAAAGGATGCTGAAGACCCATAATGCCAGAGAGAATTAAACAGACCATTAGGTGTTTTGTGTTGGGTTTTCAAATTCGAATACTAAGAGACCTTATTACACTGCAGTACTCCCCCTCTAGCTATGCTGATTGGTGCGATGTGCCAGTTCTGCACTGGGTCTTTGAATCCGGCTATGGCTCTCCCCGGAAGACCGGCCATTCAGCAGCTGTTTGTCTATGGAGGAGTTTTTTTCTCTACTTTCTCAATCTGTTGGTTCTAGCTACATTCCTGCCTCAAGACCAGCTGAGGGTGGTGCCCATTTTGACTGTAGTTTTCGTTGGAGGAAGGTGAGTTTTTAAAGCCATTGCTCAGTGAGTGAAAAGAGTGAGGCGTCACCATTTTTGACATTGCAAAGCTGATCATGTTTTGAGTTCCTCCCCCTCATTGTATTCTTGTAGGCTTGTCTACTGGCTCTGCCTCCACATGTGTAGCCCCTGGAGAGGCTTTGGATCGGGGCTTGCCATGGTGGCTTTCAATCTGTACTGTCTGTATGACTTGAGCCTCCGACAGCTGCTCTTTGGGTCTGGGGACACACTCTGTAATCAGACCACCCCTTCATCCTGGCCTCTGGAGATGTCACAGAGCCCCAGTGGCAAATCGGATAGTGTCATACCCATAGACATCTTGGAAACTCAGTGAGGAGAGCACTTTCCCTTTCAACTTCAAGAGAAAGCTTATTCCAGAAATAGCCCATTCTTGTGGTCTGTGTTCAGCGGAGCTACACAGAATGCCTCAAACCTCTAAGTCTGTAAAGGCTTAAGTTGTATTTTGCGCCTCATACAGGACCTTTTTATGTGGATTCATGCTTATTATCTGAAATGTAAGAACCGTTCCTCCCTCTAGTTGTGGAGGAAGTCTTTGAGCAATGTTCTACGTCTTAATGTGTAATTTTAAGCTATTCCACTGCCTATATTTAAAATGTTCTGTGAAGTACTTTGACTTAAAAGTTATAATTGCAAATGGATGGATATTCTACCAATTGATGTGCTCTTTTATAAAAAACACTGAATGCAACTTGGGTCTTCAAAAAACATTTATTTTATCCATCCGAAAGTTTGTGAATGATACTGAATATAATAAAAGCCATTTGTAAAATGTATACTTCTGTTAGTCAACATGAAAGTAGCCAATAATGAATTCTATGCTGACTGAAGTGAGTCATGTTTCTCTTGAAGTATTGGGAATGTTGGTGAATGTAGATGTACTCTCGCTGTTCTCTGTCTGGCTTTCTGTAATACTGAATACCACCATCTCCACATCCCTGGACTCCTCACTGCTATGCCTGGTGCTGATGTCCACCTGGTTCCTGGCAGCACCACGTGGTAGACAAGCCCTGCTCATCCATGCAATCGCCCACATGACACACAAAATCACCAGCGGCCCTCCCATCAGGATGCCCAGAACCGCTGCTGTCCGATCCATGCCATTGGTTACTTTACCTCTGTGGTCCCAGGGGTAGACGTGGGGACTACAGGTACTGCGACGAGAATCCAAGGTGGAATACGGAGGGCAGTCCAGACAGTTTGTGTCCTGTTTGCCAAAACAAGTGTGGCAGTTGCGATGGCAGGGTAAGCACCTCCGATAGGAGCGGGTGCTGTTTCCATTTAACTCATAGTAGTGAGGTGGACAGTACATCAGGCAGATGTTCTCAAATACGTACAGTGGGTAGATACACTCTAAAAACGGAGGATACTTTCTTGGTTAGTAACATTTTCTAGCTGTCTTATAGAACGTGAAATTACAGTGTGTGTGCAACTGTTTCATTGTAAACTAAATTCAGGGAATGAATAATGTTGCAGCCTGCCTTCACAGCCGCCATCAGAATTCCTCACTGCACACTGCTGTACCACTGCCCTCTCAATGCGACGGCCAATCATGCGTTCATCTGTCCCATGCAACTCTAGTTGAAATTTCAACAGGATCCCTATGAACAAAGAAAAAAAACGAGTTGGTGGCTGAGTACATTGTATAACATGTTCATTATGCACAATGTAAAGCATACAAATAAATACATTAACTTAATTGGGAACAAAAACAAATCATTTTCATGTTATGACATGAATACATTAAGTAGTATGTATCTTGATGAGATGTGAAAGAGTGAGTTTGAACAGGATGGATACCAACAGATGATGAAAGCCTGAGCCAAACAGAGCCAGCTGCTGTCACGCTAGCTGCAGCACTGAATGCTTTTGATTTGTAATACTAGTTAAGGATGACAATACATTTTTTCTGGTTCACATTAGATGTAATGTGTTAGATGTAATGTATACTATTTATTTCTGCCATTAACTAATTGAATTGAGATACCAGAGATGTGTTTTAAGAGACTCGCTGTGTTATTGAAGTTGACACCTTAAATTCCAACTTTGTTTTTGTCAGTTTGAGAATGACTGCTGAAGTCAGTGTACCTCTGTTAGTTGAATCTCCGTTGTTTTCTATCTGTAGAACCCAATATCCAGAGGGATCCTCATCCCAGCAGTGTGTACTCATGAAGGCCCAGTCTGAGAATCCTGCAGACGTTTTATCGTAAGGCCTGTGATGCAACATTGGATTGGAATATTTTAGTACACTAAAGACAAGATGGGTTACACTTGGACCTCTTGTTGCATATTGTAAATCCTGATACTTCACCATTATGCCGTATGTATAATATGTATTCTACCCTATGACAGAGTATCTATAAATGGTTTCATACTTCTATTTATTGGTTTCAAGCTTGCTGTCCATTGACTTGGCTGTGCCTTACCTGGTTGTGAGTAAATTGGAGATTGTCTTCTTCGGGCTAATGAGGGTGATGGAGAGATCCCCACGTCTGCTATAGGTCAGTGTAAGACGTGCCTGGATATGCTCCAGAGACCGAATCCAGTTCCTGGTGCCATGACAAGCTGTCACATTCCACCTCAATGTTAGTTTCATGCGGAGTTCACTATCGGACAGACATCAAATCAGGTATAACAAATCTAACCGGCCAAGTTGGTATTATGAATTGGTTGAATGACTCTTTATGCTCGATAATATCTGAATATCATATTTATGTGTACTGTAAACAGCTGTAGGACACACTGATAAGTAGCTGTATTCCTACTAACTATCCATAAGTGAGATGAAAGGGCAAGGGTGTTTTTCTTACAAGGCTCTGGTAATGAGGTCAATGGTGCACTTCTTTTGAGGTTTGACTGCTTTCCATTTACTGGCCAAGTCCACCAGTCTACCTGCATCCAGTAGCCCATATCCATAGTAATGGCTGACTATAATAAAGAAAATCAGATGCCAGTTCACTATTTTTTAAATTCAATTTCAGGCCCTACAGTCAGCAAATCACATCTCAGTTTCCCTAAATGGTAAACTACCTACAATAGAAGGTAGTGCTTTATGTCTCACCAGGTCTACCAACACCATTGGTCCGCCAATCCTGCGTTTGAAGATCTGCCAGTCTAGATGCTCGCACCACAAGGTGTTGCACATCACGCCAGGTAAGTGTTGGGCTGTGGGAGAAGTTGGAATATTATCATCTTTCTCGATGACTCAAAGCCTTACAACAAATAAGTTATTGAGTTACAGGTGCGCAGAGACAAGGGCGTTCTTACTTTGCCTCCAGAGCCAGTGCAATGATCCCAGCAGCCAGAGGGGCAGAGGCAGAGGTCCCAGTATGGTCAGAGGTGCAGGACTGATGCAGGTCAGTGGTGACCTAGAGGGGAAACATCATCCAGGTATTTTGTTGAGGCTTTGCTTACTGTTGCTGTAGGTGGTGAATGTGAGATAAATATTGATCTCTTTCAAGTTCCACACATCTTCAGAAACCTCTTACATTCATGTGACTACTTTTTAAGCATGATTATTCTAAAGCTAAACTAGTCAAAGATTTATCAGAATGCTTTGTCACTCTAAATGCATATTTGTAAAATAAATATACTGAACAAAAATATAAACGCAACATGTAAAGTGTTGGTCCCATGTTTCATGAGCTGAACTAAAAGATCCCAGAGATTTTCCATTCGCACAAAAAGTGTATTTCTCTCAAATGTACACACATTTGTTTACATCCCTGTTATTGAGCATTTCTCCTTTGCTAAAATAATCCACCCACCTGACGGGTGTGGCATTTCAAGAAGCTGATTAAACAGCATAATCATTACACAGGTGCACCTTGTGCTAGGGACAATAAAAGGCCACTCTAAAATGTGCAGTTTTGTCACACAACACAATGCCACAGATGTCTCAAGTTTTGAGGGAGCCTGCAATTGGCATGCTGACTGAAGGAATGTCCAACAGAGCTGTTGCCAGAGAATTTAATGTACATTTCTCTACCATATGCAGCCTCCAATGTCGTTTTAGAGAATTTGGCAGTACATCCAACCAGCCTCACAACCGCAGACCACGTGTAACCACGCCAGCCCAGGACCTCCACATCCGGCTTCTTCACCTGCGGGATCGTCTGAGACCAGCCACCCAGACAGCTGATGAAACTGTGGGTTCGCACAACCGAAGAATTTCTGCACAAACTGTCAGAAACCGTCTCATCGAAGCTCATCTGCGTGCTCGATGTCCTCACCAGGCTCTTGACCTGACTGCCGTTCGGCGTTGTCACTGACTTCAGTGGGCAAATGCTCACCTTCGATGGCTACTGGCACGCTGGAGAAGTGTGCTCTTCCCGATTTCAACTCTACCGGTCAGATGGCAGACAGCATGTATGGCGTTGTGTGGGCAAGCGGTTTGCTGATGTCAACGTTGTGAACAGAATGCCCCATGGTGGCGGTGGGGTTATGGTATGGTCAGGCATAAGTTACGGACAATGAACACAATTGCATTTTATCGGTGGCAATTTGAATGCACAGAGATATTGTGATGAGATCCTGACGCCCATTGTCGTGCCATTCATCCGCCGCCTTCACATCATGTTTCAGCCCCATGTCACAAGGATCTGTACACAATTCCTGGAAGCTGAAAATGTCCCAGTTCTTCCATGGCCTGCATACTCACCAGAAATGTCACCCATTGAGCAGTTTTGGGATGCTCTGGATCGACGTGTACGACAGCGTTTTCCAGTTCCCGCCAATATCCAGCAACTTCGTACTGCCATTGAAGAGGAGTGGGACAACATTCCACAGACCACAATCAACAGCCTGGTCAACTCAATGCGAAGGAGATGTGTTGCGCTGCATGAGGCAAATGGTGGTCACACCAGATACTGACTGATTTTCTGATCCACGCCCCTACCTTTTTAAGGTGTCTGTGACCAACAGATGCATATCTGTATTCCCAGTCACGTGAAATCCATAGATTAGGGCCTTTATTTCAATTGACTGATTTCCTTTTATGAACGGTAACTCAGTAAAATCTTTGAAATTGTTGCATGTTGAATTTATATTTTTGTTCAGTGTATATATGAATGTTGAAAACAATAATATGGTATGAGTTGGGAAAAAGACACTTACAATTCTGTGGTGATGAAAGCTACCACCACTGTAGGTAGTTGTTAGAATGGCCGAGCAGGGTTCACTGTAGAAGGGCAAAGTTCCCCTTTCGGTGGTACTACCAACAGACAACGTGTAAATGCTGTTGGTGTAGCCATCACAGTTGCAGTTGTCAAAGCTGGCGCCCCCATTGCCTGAAGCCCAGACGTAAATGGAACCCAAGCCACCTCGGCCCTGTAAGGTATTGCAGTTGCTTTTTAAGACTCATTGTATGATCTTACTGCTCTAGTTACTTTGCCTCCAGATTATTCAGCCAACGGATTGGCACTACTGATGAAACAGGTAATATAGGATGACCGGTACAAGTTGTTTCATACATTGCTTATGCCTCTGATAAAGGCTTCTTGGGCTAATGTGTTTGGCCCCTCCAAATTCCTCCCCAAATCTTCAGGTCCCCAGCTTGAGCTGTAGATGTCAATGTGCTGCTGATTCAAGTTTAAGGACATGGCTTCTATCAGGTCAGTCACTTGTCCATCCAACATCCGAACTCCTGGACAGAACACAGCAAAAGCCAGGGTGAAAATTAAAGCAGGATAATTACTGTACTGTTCTAAATACTATTAACAAGATAATTATTTAATGTATAGGTAATACTTGCCCCCGATCTTGGCCTGATATGCCACTCCAACCCCACACACCCCATTATTTGCCACCGCTGCCACCACCCCAGCACACCTTGTTCCATGCCTATGGAGCAGAGGACAAAAGGGGTTCATCAATACAGAATGTCGTCACATAGTGCAGTTCATACATGTTATATGATGTAATGTCTTGTAGTAGTAAAATCTTAATAACATCACAGCCAAATTACCTCTTCGGTCTGGTCAGAGAGTATTGAGTGTCTGGGATGGGGTCATTATCATTCATGTCATAGCTAGCAAGTGGATCCTACAGGTACAATGAAATTTGAGTTTTTTTTTCTACTGATGGAACATTTTCTACTTGTCTTCATGATTAACAAATTGCAATCGTGCCCCTACAACAATAATAATCTCGATAACTCACATAATTTTCAGCAAGGTCTGGGTGGCTTGTCTCTAGGCCATCGTCTAAGATGGACACCACTACCCCTTTGCCTGTGTAGCCTCGAGCCCAGGCAGCCACCACATTCTGATCAAATGCCTCACTCTGGAAAAGCAGAGGCCTACATTAGATTTTTTATTTTATTTTCCAGTTTCAAAACAGGGATTACCATATGCTTTCACTCAAGGCAGAAAAACCTCAAACAGCAGAATAAAAATCTAAAGAGCTTCTTATGGAAATAAACTTCAAACAAAAATGGAAGAATAATGTTGACATATACCAGGTACCACTGCTGATTGAAAAATGGATCAGTGGGTGCTGTGAAAGAGTGTCTTCTATTTCTAATCCTTCCAGATTGCTGTGCAAACCAAAGCACCTGAGAAACAGGTAGATCATTACACTCATCACAATAAGAGCAATACTGGGACTGGTTATCACAGACAACTTTAGAAAGTGTTTTACAGATGTATTAGCTATTCACCTTAGGGTCCATTTTCAGTCGAAGATTATGCAAATAGTGTGCCTGCAATGATTGTTTTGCCACCCCTGGTTGCTCCATATGGTAATAGTTGCCATCTGGAAATATCTACAAATATAATTTGCCAGAAGAAATTAGCTACTACTAGGTAGTCATATTATGCCAAAAGATGTACCTATAAATAATAAAAATAATTATATAACATAAATAAACAGTGAACTAACATTAACATAATTGTTTTACCTTTCCCAAGATATGGAAACCATGTTTCTTTGCAATCTTGTTGATTTGTTCAGGAGTGCCACTCAAATATAGAGCCCAACTGTTGGTGTAGATGACTTCTGCATAAATTGTGCACATATACACCATACACAAAGAGCAACTGATGTACAGGTACCTCATGCTGGCTTCTTTTTTTAACTGTTCAGCTGATTTATTTTTGGTCTTAAGGAAACAATCCTTTCATTTTGCGAACTCTCATGTCTCCAACATGATTTTAACAAGTTGTATCACTAACGGTTGTTGTTTGACATTCGAACAGGCCTACATGCGCGTGATCAATAAATATTCCCGCCACAGATTGGCGCGCAATTATCACATTATGAAGTCAGTGTTGCGTTGTTTAATAGGCTATGATTTGGGTTGTGTAAACTGATCCTGGATCTGCTCTGAGCTACTTCTTACCCCATGGAGCCACTGGCTAATGTGACATTATTTTCTACACCTTAGTTTTTTACTTTGAGCAATGCACTTCGAAAGTTCAGACCAATCAATAGTCCTACGTTTTACTAATATACTTAGACATTTTTGTCCTCCTGTCAATAAAATAAAATCAGGACGAGCGCCCCAAATGGTTCTATCATGTAAGCATAGTCACCGGAAGTCCTAGCTATTATTTTATCTAAAGATGGCGGCGTTGGTGGGTGAGTGATGTTTTGGCTAAAATGTAAAGCTAGTTACTGGAACATACAATTCTGAAAAATATCTGACTCATTTATCTCACAAATATTACACTATTTTGTATGGTTTCCGATTAATTTATTATATTGGTTGTTTGTGTCATTTTTTTTGCTATCACCACTATTTGTAATCGCTGACCTTGCAAGCTAGTTAGCTGCTAGCACTGCAGCACCCCTGCCTTGGCTTGATCAAAAAGAGCTCTGTTTATGCTAGCTAGCTAGGGAGCAAATGCTGTTTGTTTGTGTAGTTAGCTAGTTATAAAACTAGCACACGTGAAGTTTCTCAGACATTGTGCACGGTTATTAACGTCTCAATGGTAATCTAAAGACCAATAAATGTCCCTGTTTTACATTAGAGCAATGGCTCGTGATAACTAACTAAATAGTTAACTATGGACGGTAACGTTAGCTAGCTACTGTAGCTAGTCATCATATTTATATCACAAACGTCAGTCAGCTTGTTATGTCACTCAAGAAAAGCGCACTGCCTTGTCTATAGCCAATATTTCTATGTGTCCCGCAAGTAACTGTTATGTTATCTAAATACATCCTATAGATACATTTGTTGACATCTGTGCTTTATTTGTCTTTCCCGTGCAGTGCCTCGCCTCGCCGCGTTTGGTACCTTTTCATCAAGGTAAGCATGACGTTAGGCAAATTACGCAGTTAAGGTGATTAAACTAAGACAGGCCTAGGATTTACTATAGTTAGTAACAGAGGCTCTTTCTGTTTTGAAATCACCAGTAACCTTATGAAATGTTTGCTCTATTTAGCATATCCTTACAGTAGTGTAATTTATTTGTATTGTTAATGCCATTTAGATTGTCTTGATGGTCTTTCTCTGTCATATCAATCAGTTGTATTGTAATGTCGTATTACCTCATATTTTTCTACCACACAGATCCATTTCAGTATTTGCGATACAACAGAGGTCGTCGCTACACCACATTGCTGAAAGTGGCAATGCTACATGGTAAGGGAGGTCCTGCAAACATGTCAATTTGTCAAAGTATTTGTTTGAGTACTTCATATTACCTATTTTCTTCCAGTGTGGTTCCAGTCAGAGAGAAAAGCACAGCGGTGGCTGCTGCCAAGCCAACTGCAGTAGCAAGCAGCAAGGGAGAGTATGTCATCACTAAGCTGGATGATCTGGTGAACTGGGCACGCAGGGTAAGTCAGTGCTCAGATTCAATGCCACACAACACCTATGTTCTTCAGTGGCAATGGTCCATTTTGAATGTTTGTCAATTTTTCAATAAGAAAATCAAGAAGTGCACCCTCCCCATCCCAAACTCCTCTTTGTGACCTTCTCTATTCTGTGGCTGATTGGCTGCCAGTCAAACAACTGTCAAAATGATTAAACTAACTACAGAGGGAAGCACAGTATGATCTCAGGCATTCCTCTAAACCAGCCATAAGCTTTTTTTGTTTGTTTGGAACTCAGTCGGGGTCTCAACTTACTGTTGAGTCAGAATAGTAGAATACACAAGGTGCAATTTCTACATTTTGGTTGTGCATCAGCAGTTTTTATTTTATGTCAATCACTGACAGTCACTCAATTAGCCATGTCAGCTAACAATTTTGGTAAGAATACTGACCTGGCACGTGCCCAGGGGCCCTGACCTCCAGGGGGCCCCCATTGCTTTTGTTTGTCACTCTCACTCAGATATCACGTTAACATGGCATAAGTCATGGCAGAATGTGTAGAATTGCAGGAAATTTACTTTGAAACATATTTTCCTCTCTGCCATCACTAAAATGTTTAGCTGATGAGGTGGGGGGTCCCTCCAGCCATATCTCGCTTAGGGCCCCCAAAATAACTCCTGCTCTAAACCACACTTTTTGACCTCCTTTTCTTTTCACCAGAGATGAATAAGGGAAAAACATATTGACTGACTCAATGATCTTTGTTCAGATAGTTTTGTTGACCTATCAGTCTAATCTGTCTTTGTGCATTTCTACATTAGAGCTCCCTATGGCCCATGACGTTTGGCCTGGCGTGCTGTGCGGTGGAGATGATGCACATGGCTGCTCCTCGCTATGACATGGACCGATTCGGAGTGGTGTTCAGAGCCAGCCCCAGACAGGCCGACGTCATGATTGTGGCAGGCACCCTGACCAACAAGATGGCCCCCGCTTTGCGCAAGGTATTTGACTGAAGGACATGTTTCTTTGGAGAAAGGAGTTCTGTATTTGCATTTATTGAGTGTATGAATTCAACATGATGCTCATTATTTCCCCTAGGTTTATGACCAGATGCCTGAGCCAAGATATGTCATTTCCATGGGAAGGTAAAGTATTGTCCTAATATGATTAGGTTTAAACAGAAAAATGTTAGTGGTTGTCTTGTTTGAAATGGATCTCATTATGTCCTTGAAACTTTTTCTTTTAAAAACACCTGATTGTTTAACGCAACATCCCTAAAGTTGACTGCTTTTACCGATTGTGATTTAATTCCACACACCAAGTTTTACCATTACACACAGTGCTTTTACAGTGTTGGTCATATTCAACTGTTAGTTGAGACAGTGTATCTTATTACTCTGTCCTTCAGCTGCGCCAATGGGGGTGGCTACTACCACTACTCTTACGCAGTGGTCAGAGGGTGTGACCGCATCGTACCAGTGGACATATACGTTCCAGGTATGTCATTCTGTTTTTGTTATTTTAATTATTATAAAACAAATTAGTTCTGTCCCTGATACAGTGGGGAAACAAGTATTTGATACACTGCCGATTTTGCAGGTTTTCCTACTTACAAAGCATGTAGAGGTCTGTAATTTTTATCATAGGTACACTTCAACTGTGAGAGACGGAATCTAAAACAAAAATCCAGAAAATCACATTGTATGATTTTTAAGTAATTCATTTGCATTTTATTGCATGACATAAGTATTTGATACATCAGAAAAGCAGAATTTAATATTTGGTACAGAAACCTTTGTTTGCAATTACAGAGATCATATGTTTCCTGTAGGTCTTGACCAGGTTTGCACACACTGCAGCAGGGATTTTGGCCCACTCCTCCATACAGACCTTCTCCAGATCCTTCAGCTTTTGGGGCTGTCGCTGGGCAATACAAACTTTCAGCTTCCTCCAAAGACTTTCTATTTGGTTCAGGTCTGGAGACTGGCTAGGCCACTCCAGGACCTTGAGACGCTTCTTACGGAGCCACTCCTTAGTTGCCCTGGCTGTGTGTTTCGGGTCGTTGTCATGCTGGAAGACCCAGCCACGACCCATCTTCAATGCTCTTACTGAGGGAAGGAGGTTGTTGGCCAAGATCTCGCGATACATGGCCCCATCCATCCTCCCCTCAATACGGTGCAGTCGTCCTGTCCCCTTTGCAGAAAAGCATCCCCAAAGAATGATGTTTCCACCTCCATGCTTCACGGTTGGGACGGTGTTCTTGGGGTTGTACTCATCCTTCTTCCTCCAAACACGGCGAGTGGAGTTTAGACCAAAAAGCATTTTTTTTGTCTCATCAGACCACATGACCTTCTCCCATTCCTCCTCTGGATCATCCAGATGGTCATTGGCAAATTTCAGACGGGCCTGGACATGTGCTGGCTTGAGCAGGGGGACCTTGCGTGCGCTGCAGGATTTTAATCCATGACGGCGTAGTGTGTTACTAATGGTTTTCTTTGAGACTGTGGTCCCAGATCTCTTCGGGTCATTGACCAGGTCCTGCCGTGTAGTTCTGGGCTGATCCCTCACCTTCCTCATGATCATTGATGCCCCACGAGGTGAGATCTTGCATGGAGCCCCAGACCGAGGGTGATTGACCGTCATCTTGAACTTCTTCCATTTTCTAATAATTGCGCCAACAGTTGTTGCCTTCTCACCAAGCTGCTTGCCTATTGTCCTGTAGCCCATCCCAGCCTTGTGCAGGTCTACAATTTTATCCCTGATGTCCTTACACAGCTCTCTAGTCTTGGCCATTGTGGAGAGGTTGGAGTCTGTTTGATTGAGTGTGTGGACAGGTGTCTTTTATACAGGTAACGAGTTCAAACAGGTGTAGTTAATACAGGTAATGAGTGGAGAACAGGAGGGCTTCTTAAAGAAAAACTAACAGGTCTGTGAGAGCTGGAATTCTTACTGGTTGGTAGGTGATCAAATACTTATGTCATGCAATAAAATGCAAATTAATTACTTAAAAATCATACAATGTGATTTTCTGGATTTTTGTTTTCGATTCTGTCTCACAGTTGAAGTGTACCTATGATAAAAATTACAGACCTCTACATGCTTTGTAAGTAGGAAAACCTGCAAAATCGGCAGTGTATAAAAAACTTGTTCTCCCCACTGTATATGTACAGCAATGTGGAAAATAGCTATTTGAAGATCATCTTATATGACTCAAATTGATTGTTTACTTGTCCTCCTGTAGGCTGCCCACCCACAGCAGAGGCCCTTCTCTACGGCACGCTCCAGTTGCAGAAGAAAATAAAGAGAGAGAAGAAAATGAGGATTTGGTATCGCAAGTGAAATTATCCATGTCTCTGGCTGTTTGTAAATGTTGTATTTATGGGTGGTCTGGCCACCCAGTAAACCGGTAGGCAATATTCTCAGGAGTCACTCTGGGTATGCTCTGGCTCCTCTTCTCTGTATAAACAATAAAATTAATTTCTTGTCATTAGTTTAACTGTTGTTGTTCTTGGCCCTGCACAGATTATGATACTGGCAGGTATTTGACTACATTCATTAATTTCCCATTTTCTTTTAGTAATATGATCATTTTACCTGATCATTTTTAACATTATTTCTACGGTCATCACTATTTAGAAGTCACATCATGTCTTTTGCTTTCTTTAGTGGTCCATTCTTTGTTTTTGTAATGTGTGTTGGTGTATTTATCTGAAGACTATTTGTACTTGTGTGTACAATTCTGAGCCAGTAGATGGTGTACTTGGCACACAATATTGTTCTACAGAGAGTTTAGACATTTACTTACTTTATCTCTGGTTCTACCAAAGAGTTCCTGTTCAAATACTCATAAATGTTTCCTTCTTTGAAGTAATCACTGATCTGACATTTAATTGGTGTAAGCAAGCATTCCTTGATATTGCTTTCACCAATTACGTCATGTCAGATCAGTGTTTACTTCAAGGAAATGAGGCTGGGTACAACCTCAAAGTATTGTCACAGGGCCCGTCTTTGGTTCTACTCGGCAACACCCAATCCCAAATTGACCCTACCTCTGTATGCACTTCTGTACATCTTAGACGATTGGAAGGTAGCAATAGGGATACAATTCCACCTAGCCTATCAGGAAGCAGGGTGGCGCTATTCATATTTTATGGGAAAGTTGATAGGTCTAAACCATTTAACATATTTGCACAAAGAAGCTCCCCTTGTGCATTTCAATTTTGGACAATCTCTTATAAATTGGGTTAAAATCATGTATAGTAACCCTAGGTGTAAAATAGTAAATAATGGCTATTTCTCAGAAAGTTTGAAACTGTCGAGAGGAGTGAAACAAGGTTGTCCACTATCGGCATATCTATTTATTATTGCCATCGAGATGTTAGCTATTAAAATCAGATCCAACAATAATATCAAGGGATTAGAAATCCAGGGCTTAAAAACAAAGGTGTCATTGTACGCTGATGATTTATGTTTTTTTTTAATCCACAACTTGAATCAATCCACAGCCTCATAGAGGATCTAGATAAATTTTCTAACCTCTCTGGATTACAAACAAATTATGATAAATGTACTATATTACGTATTGGATCACTAAAAAATAAAAAATTTACATTACCATGTAGTTTACCAATAAAATGGTCTGATGGTGATGTGGATATACTAGGAATACATATCTCAAATGAAATAAATGATCTCACTCCCAATACATTTTAATAGAAAGTTAGCAAAGGTAGATAAGATCTTGCTACCATGGAAAGGTAAATACCTGTCAATTTGTGGAAAAATCACCCTGATTAACTCTTTAGTATTATCCCAGTTTACCTATTTGCTTATGGTCTTGCCTACGCCTAGCGAACAGTTTTTTAAATTATATGAGAAAAAAATATTCCATTTGATTTGGAACGGCAAGCCAGACAAAATTAAACAGGCCTATTTATTTAATGAATATGAATTAGGAGGACAGAAATGATTAAATATTAAAGCATTAGACCTATCACTAAAAGCTTCAGTCATACAAAAATTATACTAAAATCCGAACTGGTTCTATAGCAAACTAGTAAGATTGTCTCACCCAATGTTCAAGAAGGGAATTTTTCCCTTTATTGAGATTACAAACCCTCACTTTCAGGTATTCAGGTACACTAACAAATATTGTGGTTAAACTCAAATATACAAATTGATAAAAAAACCGTTCTTTTTTGAGAAAATGATTAAAAAAGGTATAATCTTCGTAAATTGTATTAGGAATGGTGGAGTTATGTCGCACATGCAGCTAACAAAAACATATGGAAATGTCTGCTCTACCCAAAATTACAACCAAATAATTGCAGCATTACCACAAAAATGGAAGACGAAAGTGGATGGAGGAAAAAGTAAGGAACTTGTCTGTCGGCCTTGCATTAAAGAACATAATTGTGATAAATAAAAAAGTTTACCAGTTTAATTTAAGGACCAAAAGATTGACAGCCGTCCCATATAGATTGCAAAATAGTTGGGAAGAGATTTTTTACGTACCGATTCCATGGCATAGTGTTTATGAACTGATACGCAAAACGACGCCAGATTCAAAACTTAGAACTTTTAAATTATTATATAAAATTCTTGCTACCAATAGAATGTTTTTTGTATGGGGGATACAATCTTCCCAGCTCTGCATATTTGGCTGTGAAGAGACAGAATCATTAGATCATTTGTTTTGGTACTGTCCATTTGTAGCTTGTTTCTGGACACAGGTCCAGGAATGGCTGAAGGATTGCAATATTTGCATGGAGCTGACCCTGCAGATAGCACTACTGGGTGATCTGAAAAGTCATAGTCAATCGATCAATAATAGAATAATACTGTTAGCAAAGATGTTTATTTTCAATTCACAAACTGTAGAAACTATGAGAATAGAAAGGTTCAGAACTTTTGTAAAACATCACAGTACAGTTGAAAAATATGGCAAATATAAATCCAATATGGATGGTGTTAAGAGATAGATGGGAGGTGTTGAATGGAGCTGAAGGATGGGACTAATAACAACAACTAATAACAACAAGATAACTAGTGTAAGACATGCGAAAATGATCGGAGGAAGTTCAGGAGTAGAAACAAACAAAATAAAATTATTGACTGTGTCCATAAAATGTATATAGTATGTATAAGCATGAAGTAGAGGCCTAAGCATTGTTGTTCACTAGTTTACTCCAATTAGGGAGGGGATGGTGGGGTTGGAAAGTAATAAAGGGAAATCTATATATTTTTAAAGGATATGTATGTATGTGTATGTATGTGTGTATATACAGTGGGGAGAACAAGTATTTGATACACTGGCGATTTTGCAGGTTTTCCTACTTACAAAGCATGTAGCGGTCTGTAAGTTTTATCATAGGTACACTTCAACTGTGAGAGACGGAATCTAAAACAAAAATCCAGAAAATCACATTGTATGATTTTTAAGTAATTAATTTGCATGACAGAAGTATTTGATACATCAGAAAAGCAGAACTTAATATTTGGTACAGAAACCTTTGTTTGCAATTACAGAGATCATACGTTTCCTGTAGGTCTTGACCAGGTTTGCACACACTGCAGCAGGGTTTTTGGCCCACTCCTCCATACAGACCTTCTCCAGATCCTTCAGGTTTCGGGGCTGTCGCTGGGCAATACGGACTTTCAGCTCCCTCCAAAGATTTTCTATTGGGTTCAGGTCTGGAGACTGGCTAGGCCACTCCAGGACCTTGAGATGCTTCTTACGGAGCCACTCCTTAGTTGCCCTGGCTGTGTGTTTCGGGTCGTTGTCATGCTGGAAGAACCAGCCACGACACATCTTCAATGCTCTTACTGAGGGAAGGAGGTTGTTGGCCAAGATCTCGCGATACATGGCCCCATCCATCCTCCCCTCAATACGGTGCAGTCATCCTGTCCCCTTTGCAGTAAAGCATCCCCAAAGAATGATGTTTCCACCTCCATGCTTCACAGTTGGGATGGTGTTCTTGGGGTTGTACTCATCCTTTTTCTTCCTCCAAACACGGCGAGTGGAGTTTAGACCAAAAACCTATATTTTTGTCTCATCAGACCACATGACCTTCTCCCATTCCTCCTCTGGATCATCCAGATGGTCATTGGCAAACTTCAGACGGGCTTGGACATGCGCTGGCTTGAGCAGGGGGACCTTGCGTGCGCTGCAGGATTTTAATCCATGACGGCGTAGTGTGTTACTAATGGTTTTCTTTGAGACTGTGGTCCCAGATCTCTTCAGGTCATTGACCAGGTCCTGCCGTGTAGTTCTGGGCTGATCCCTCACCTTCCTCATGATCATTGATGCCCCACGAGGTGAGATCTTGCATGGAGCCCCAGACCGAGGGTGATTGACCGTCATCTTGAACTTCTTCCATTTTCTAATAATTGCGCCAACAGTTGTTGCCTTCTCACCAAGCTGCTTGCCTATTGTCCTGTAGCCCATCCCAGCCTTGTGCAGGTCAACAATTTTATCCCTGATGTCCTTACACAGCTCTCTGGTCTTGGCCATTGTGGAGAGGTTGGTATCTGTTTGATTGAGTGTGTGGACAGGTGTCTTTTATACAGGTAACGAGTTCAAACAGGTGCAGTTAATACAGGTAATGAGTGGAGAACAGGAGGGCTTCTTAAAGAAAAACTAACAGGTCTGTGAGAGCCGGAATTCTTACTGGTTGGTAGGTGATCAAATACTTCTGTCATGCAATAAAATGCAAATTAATTACTTAAAAATCATACAATGTGATTTTCTGGATTTTTCGACAGCCCCGAAACCTGAAGGATCTGGAGAAGGTCTGTATGGAGGAGTGGGCCAAAAACCCTGCTGCAGTGTGTGCAAACCTGGTCAAGACCTACAGGAAACGTATGATCTCTGTAATTGCAAACAAAGGTTTCTGTACCAAATATTAAGTTCTGCTTTTCTGATGTATCAAATACTTCTGTCATGCAAATTAATTACTTAAAAATCATACAATGTGATTTTCTGGATTTTTGTTTTAGATTCCGTCTCTCACAGTTGAAGTGTACCTATGATAAAAATTACAGACCTCTACATCCTTTGTAAGTAGGAAAACCTGCAAAATCGGCAGTGTATCAAATACTTGTTCTCCCCACTGTATGTATATATGCGAGAAAAAAAACAAAAAACATATGGGGGATTGGAAGTGATGCAGACAATTACATTGATGGAAGTTACAATCTATCTACAATATTAAAGCTGATATACCCCCTAAGCAAAAAATAAAAAATAAGCTCCCCTTGTGTGATTTGGCATGATAAATTACATCCAATCTACATGAAATGTTGAATTGTTGCCCTCTTGTGCTTATTCTGCAAGAAATGTAGCATGCTCCATAAAGATAAGTTGATATGATTGGGGTGTTAGCTACAAATAACATAAGTGTTCAGTTGGGTTGAGATCTGGTGACTGAGACACACACACACACACACACACACACACAATCTACAACCAGCAGCAATAAGTGAGGCAATGTGCCACGACAACTTATCCATTAATGATTAACAACTTATCACTAGATAGTTACTTTTTCCATCTCTTTACTTAAGGGACTTATTCTGCAGCTTGTCCCAGTCCCTCAGGAAGTAATTGTTCTCTTGTCAAAAGAGATGATTTATATTCAGTCAAATGGCAAATCGAAAGCTGTTTGGCTGTGTTTAAACAGGCAGCCCAATTCTGATCTTTTGCCCAATTATTGGGCATAAGATCTGATCTGATTGGTCAAAAGACCAATAATTGGTAGTGCTGAGTGATTAGTGCTTTATGAGGTCTGTTCGATTATAAAACTAATTATAATAATTCAAGGTTTGTCGATTTCTGTATTTTTTTAGAATGCTGTAACACAGAATAAATAAATTAAGAAAAGTCTCATGATGGTAGTGACTGCCCATTACTGCTTATCACTTAACTATAATTTATTCACATTACTTTAAAATATTTCAGTTGTGTATATTACATGTGTCTTATTTGATTACTTTATTTCATTCCAAGTCATCATCTCATCTCTATAGAGCTGTGCCTATGCTGTCTGAGAAAATCACAATTTTAGTAGTTCAAAGTAAATTATGGCATACTTTTATGACTGCTGAATACCAACTATCAATCACTTAGATCAGTGTTTCCCAACTCCAGTCCACCAGTACCCCCAACAGTACATATTTTTGTTGTGGCCCCGGACAAACACATCTGACCAGCCCTTGACAAGTTGAATCAGGTGTTTTTGTCCAGGCCTACAACAAAAATGTGTGCTGTCGGGAGTACTGGAGGACCGGAGTTGGGAAACCCTGATTCTTAGGTCATGTACTTTCAGGAAGTAGGTGGTCGGGCAATGAATTATGGTCATTGTAGTTAATTTCCACGTTTTCTGCGCTAAACTATGTATACTGAACAAAAATATAAACGCAACATATAAAGTGTTGGTCTCCTGTTTAATGAGCTGAAATAAAATATCCCAGAAATTGACCATCTGCACAAAAAGCTTATTTCTCTCAAATGTTGTGCACAAATTGTTTACATCCCTGTTAGTGAGCATTTCTCCTTTGCCAAAATAATCCATCCACCTAACAGGTGTGGAATATCAAGAAGCTGATTAAACAGCATGATCATTCATGCTCCTCTGTAGCTCAATTGGTAGAGCATGGCGCTTGTAACGCCAGGGTAGTGGGTTTGATCCCCGGGACCACCCATACGTAAAAATGTATGCACACATGACTGTAAGTCGCTTTGGATAAAAGCGTCTGCTAAATGGCATATTATTATTATTATTATTACACAGGTGCACCTTGTGCTGCGGACAAAAGGCCACTCTAAAATGTGCAGTTTTGACACAACACAATGCCACAGATGTCTCAAGTTTTGAGGGAGCGTGCAATTTGCATGCTGATTGCAGGAAAGTCCAACAGAGCTGTTGCCGGAGAATTAAATGTTAATTTCTCTACCATAAGCCGCCTCCAATGTCAATTTAGAGAATTTGGCAGTACATCCAACTAGCCTCACAACCGCAGACCACGTGTAACCACACCAGTCCAGGACCTTCCACATCTGGCTTCTTCACCTTTTGGATCGTCGGGGGGTGGTGAGCAGTATTTCTGTCTGTAATAAAGCCCTTTTGTGGGGAAAAACTCATTCCGATTGCCTGGGCCTGGCTCACAAGTGGGTGGGTCTTTGTACTCCCATGCCCACCCATGGCTGTGCCCCTGCCCAGTCATGTGAAATCCATAGATTAGGGCCTAATTTATTTATTTCAATTGACTGATTTCCTTCTGTGAACTGTAACTCAGTAAAATCTTTTAAATTGTTTGCGTTTTATTTTTTGTTCACTATAGAATATTGGCCTGTTGGAAACTACAACTCCCTACTACATCGCACAGTTCAGGTTTGATCGGATTTATCTCTAGAGAAACTGTGCATAGAGCTCACAGAAAACCCCAAAACGAAATGGAATTCAAATAATTGAACCGATGTTGGTCAATTAGTTGTTTAAAAAACTAAAAATAACTGAAGTTCGGTTAATCGCTCAGCACTAATGATTGGACTAAAGATCAGAATTGGGCTGCCTGTGTGGTACGTAAAATGTCATTGTCACGCTCTGGCTCCGGGACTTTGTATGTTGAGCCAGGGTGTGTTCGTTTCGTGGTGTTCTGTTTGATTGGGTTGTTCTATGTGGTTGTATTTCTTTGTTTGAATGAGTGACTCCCAATCAGAGGTAACGAGTGTCAGCTGTTGGCTCGTTGTCTCTGATTGGGAGCCATATTTAAACTGTCTGTTTTCACCTTGTGGTTGTGGGTTTTTGTTCCGTGTTCAGTCAGTGTTACTGTGGACTTCACGATCGTGTTTTGTTTTGTTCAGTACTTTAATATAATAAAGTCATGTTTCTTTCACACGCTGCGCCTTGGTCTACTTCGCTACTAGACGATCGTGACAGAAAAACCCACCCAAACAAAGACCAAGCAGCGTGTCCAGGAACACACGCAGGAGGTGACGCTGGTGGATGTCCTCCTCGGTTGGGGGCAGATTACCGAGGAGGAGGCCGTCCGGTACCGGAAGGCGATGAAGGGGGAGACCCAGGCAGGAGTGGAGAAGCGGCGTCAACCGGGCCGTGGTCGGAAAGGCGAGAGGCACCCCCAATAATTTTTTAGGGGGGGGCACACGGCATGGGCGACTGGGCAGCAGGAGGCTGCCACAGGGCGAATTGGGAGATTAAGAGAGGAGGCCACCGGCTTTTGGGGGCCAGAAGGCAGGTTGGTGGAGCCTGGATGGAGAGCAGAGCCAACTCCCCGTACTCAGGCATGGCAGCATGAGACTGGGCAGGTTCCGCGGTATGCGGAGATGCGCACTGTGCCGCGAGTGGTCCGGCATAGTCCGGTACGTCCTGTGCGAGCACCCCGCACGTGTTGTGCGAAGGTGGGCATGCAGCCAGGACGGAGTGTGCCGGCTCAGCGCTCGCGGCCTCCAGTGCCTCTCCTCGGTCCCGGATATCCTGCGCCAGTGTCACGTGCTGTTATGCCAGTACGGGTACACAGCCCTGTACGTCCTGTGCTGATGCCTCACACAGAGTGTGTGAAGGTAGGCATTCAGCCAGGACGGGTTGTGGCAGCTCTTCACTCCAGGTCTCCTATCCGTCTCCATAGCCCAGTCCGGCCTGTTCCTGCTCCACGCACGAAGCCTACGGTGTGCGTCGCCAGCCCTGTTCAGCCTGTTCCTGCTCCACGCACCAAACCTACGGTGTGCGTCGCCAGCCCAGCCCGGCCTGTTCCTGCTCCACGCACGAAGCCTACGGTGTGCGTCGCCAGCCCAGCCCGGCCTGTTCCTGCTCCACGCACCAAGCCTACGGGGTGCGTCGTCAGCCCGGCCCGGCCTGTCCCTGCTCCACGCACCAAACCTACGGTGTGCGTCGCCAGCCCTGCCCGGCCTGTTCCTGCTCCACGCACCAAACCTACGGTGTGCGTCGCCAGCCCAGCCCGGCCTGTTCCTGCTCCACGCACCAAGCCTACGGGGTGCGTCGTCAGCCCGGCCCGGCCTGTCCCTGCTCCTCGCACCAAACCTACGGTGTGCGTCGCCAGCCCTGCCCGGCCTGTTCCTGCTCCACGCACCAAGCCTACGGGGTGCGTCGTCGGCCTGGTCCAGCTCGTTCCTGCTACTCGCACCAAGCCAAGGGTGCGAGTCGTCAGCCTGATCCAGCCCATTCCTGCTACTCGCACCAAGCCAAGGATGCGAGTCGTCAGCCTGGTGAGGTCCGTTCCGGCTCCACGCACCAAGCCAAGGGTGCGTATCGTCAGCCAGGTCCGGTCCGTTCCTGCCTCACGCGCCAAGCCAGGGGTGCGCGTCGTCAGTTCGGTGCCTGATCAGGTCAGCTACTCCACTACGGAGTTTGAGCAATCCGCTCCGTCTATGTCCGGTCCAGATCCAGCCAGCGGGGTCAGACCGGACCGGGGGCGTTACGGGGGGATTGTGGAAGGGTGGTGGTCAAGCCCGGAGCCGGAGCCGCCTCCGAGGAGAAATGCCCACCCAGCCCTCCCCTGTTTGGGGTTTTGAGGCGCGGTCGCAGTCCGCGCCTTTAGGGGGGGGTACTGTCACGCTCTGGCTCCGGGACTTTGTATGTTGAGCCAGGGTGTGTTCGTTTCGTGGTGTTCTGTTTGGTTGGGTTGTTCTATGTGGTTGTATTTCTTTGTTTGAATGAGTGACTCCCAATCAGAGGTAACGAGTGTCAGCTGTTGGCTCGTTGTCTCTGATTGGGAGCCATATTTAAACTGTCTGTTTTCACCTTGTGGTTGTGGGTTTTTGTTCCGTGTTCAGTCAGTGTTACTGTGGACTTCACGATCGTGTTTTGTTTTGTTCAGTACTTTAATATAATAAAGTCATGTTTCTTTCACACGCTGCGCCTTGGTCTACTTCGCTACTAGACGATCGTGACAGTCATGCTTATTAACGTTGCAATACAGTTAAAATATAATGCATTCTGTGACAAATTTCAAGAGGTTCCATAGCAAGAGGTGCAAAATTGTTCGAGGTGATACCCAAACAAATTCATTTTGACAGAAGAAAATAGAGTTGACGTGATTTAAATTGGTTTATTGAAAGATGGACATCCCTGAATGCTTATGGATTTTTGACAGTAAACTAATGTGGCTTTTTAAAATACAGGCACTTGAGAATAAAAGGAATAAAAACATTGCAGTGGCATCAAGCCATTTCACTCTTTCAGAATGGTGGGAGTAATCATCTTGCGGAAGGCATAGTATTTGCATTCGCTTGGGGGGACAATATCCATGGTTGTGGTGCTAATCATCTCCTTCTTGAAGCCAGCCTCGAGCAGTTGAGGCATCTGGGTCTCCTGAAAATTATTAACACAAAGATCTGGTCAGTATCGTGGACCTGCATCACACATTATGGGCCTTTTAACCCTTTACACTCGTGGAAATTGGCCTATGTGAATAGTGCCAAATTGAAATGTTTCTAACCGAAGAAACATAAAAAGCATATGCATGACCATGGAAGCAATTGAAAGAGAACACTTTGGAGATTATGGGGAAATGATCAGACCAAAGGTGAGGACACAATAGTTCACCTGTCACAAGACTGAATCCAAACATTAAACTGTTGATTTGATATGCATTTTACATTTACTGTACTTTTCGCAGCATTTGTCAACGAAATCTGAAAATACTCTGGACACATTCAGTAACATAAGAATATTCATGGCAATTTTGGGGTAGCTGCAACATAACAAAAAATTATTACAAGGGTTTGAGTGAGAGGTTTAACTGGTGTCTCCAAGTGGACACACCTGTCCAAACTGTGCACAGTTCCTAAGTAATTTCAATGCACTTTTATGACTCATGGAAAGAGCCTTCAACTATAAGATGCTTGTTTGAGCTCTCCTAGCTTTGCCATTGAGGAACTGAAGCAAGCATACTCCCAAAATTACACAATTACTGTTGTTGTTTACACAATCCAAAAACGTTCCATTATAAATCGCAATCTGGGTCAGGTGAGCATAATTTGAAAGCTTATTCTATTGCCAACATGACTAGCTAAGTTATAAAATAGGATCTTACGGTGTTAGGCTTTCACAAGGCACTTAAGACAAACAGATAGTAATTTTGGTGCGCAAAAAATGGAGTCATGAGTGCATTCAAGTGCATGTTCTTGACAAATTCTCTTCACAATACGACACAGGTTAATTCTGTTCAGGACAACCCAGGGTATGACGCATATCATCTTTGTAACTGTACATCAAACATATCGATCCTAAATGTTGATACTTTAAAATGACATGAGTTTGGACTTATAGGTGTGTGGTTTGCTTGTACGACATCAAAGTGGTATTTATTATAATCCTCAACATCTCATCTTTCAGAACACATCAACTCCTCTCAATTTACAGCATTCCCCTCACTCAAACAACAAAAAAATGGGGGCATCTTTTTGTTGTGTGTGGTTCACATGCTTAGAACGGCTGTCAGTTGAATCCCATAAAGTGCTGTAAAGTGAAGAGCCTGAGCTCTGACGTCATATATAGTATGTTACTGTACAGCCACTGAGTTCCAATTTAGCCACTTATCAGTGACCAAATCTGCCATTTTCAACCCGTATACAGGATGACTGGCTGTGAGTGTAAAGGGCTACACAGTTGCAGTTCAGGTCCAATTTATCATTAACCTTTGTTTAGCCAAGAAAGGTAATTGAGGACACATTTTCTAACAGTGCCAGGACCAAGTGCATTAAAAAGGGTATTAGTAGATAGACAAACTAAACCAATTACTGTATAAGTATGGTACTGAAGTGAGTAAACCAAATACATAGGCTAATCACTTCACTCCACACAGGAGTGGAATCAATCAGGTTGTGAATTTGATTTACATAGTTTTGCAATAAAATAATAGAACATTTGTGATCAAGTGTATTTTGATGTACTGTAAAGAAAGGGTGGAAACATGCAGCAGGCAAATTAGTTAGTACTGTAGCTATGGACATAATAATAATTAATTGAAATTACAAGTTATACCACAGTAACTATCAGTGATCTACCTGTAAGTACTATCTGGCAGAAGGGGAGAATACGTGCTACGAAATTAAATGTGTCGAGCCCGAGAAGGCACATGTGTAGCCTACCCAAGCACCTCATAGAGAGATTAGGTGTTGATCATTGACTGGCTGAAAGGCGGCTCACCTGGAACATGTTGTCGATGTTGTCATATTTGGTCTTGAGAAGTTCACCCCAAGAGGTCAGGTTACAGTAGGTGAGAACGCCACTGGGCTTCAGCAGCCTGTGGGCATGGCCCTATAGAGACACAACAAACAATTGTACTATTAATGGAAACGTTAGCGTGTCATTGTGGAACGAAAGGCAATGTTTGTTTCAAGTGATAGGGATCAGAAACGTATTGTATTTGGATTCATTTCTGTAGACGTCTGCCATATGTTTACGTTGGATACAGCTATGATATTATACAGGGAGGGAAAAAAGTATTTGATCCCCTGCTGATTTTGGAAGTTTGCCCACTGACAAAGACATAATCAGTCTATAATTTTAATGGTAGGTTTATTTGAACAGTGAGAGACAGAATAACAACAAAGAAATCCAGAAAAACGCATGTCAAAAATTTTTATTAAATTGATTTGCATTTTAATGAGGGAAATAAGTATTTGACCCCTCTGCGCAAAACATGACTTAGTACTTGGTGGCAAAACCCTTGTTGGCAATCACAGAGGTCAGACGTTTCTTGTAGTTGGCCACCAGGTTTGCACACATCTCAGGAGGGATTTTGTCCCACTCCTCTTTGCAGATCTTCTCCAAGTCATTAAGGTTTTGAGGCTGACGTTTGGCAACTTGAACCTTCAGCTCCCTCCACAGATTTTCTATGGGAATAAGGTCTGGAGACTGGCTAGGCCACTCCAGGACCTTAATGTGCTGCTTCTTGAGCCACTCCTTTGTTGCCTTGGCCGTGTGTTTTGGGTCATTGTCATGCTGGAATACCCATCCACGACCCATTTTCAATGGAAGGAGGTTTTCACCCAAGATTTGACGGTACATGTCCCCGTCCATCATCCCTTTGATGCGGTGAAGTTGTCCTGTCCCCTTAGCAGAAAAACACCCCCAAAGCATAATGTTTCCACCTCCATGTTTGACGGTGGGGATGGTGTTCTTGGGGTCATAGGCAGCATTCCTCCTCCTCCAAACACGGCGAGTTGAGTTGATGCCAAAGAGCTCGATTTTGGTTTCATCTGACCACAACACTTTCACCCAGTTCTCCTCTGAATCATTCAGATGTTCATTGGCAAACTTCAGACGGCCTGTATATGTGCTTTCTTGAGCAGGGGGACCTTGCGGGCGCTGCAGGATTTCAGTCCTTCATGGCGTAGTGTGTTACCAATTGACATCCTTGGAGAGCTCTTTGGTCTTGGCCATGGTGGAGAGTTTGTAATCTGATTGATTGATTGCTTCTGTGGACAGGTGTCTTTTATACAGGTAACAAGCTGAGATTAGGAGCACTCCCTTTAAGAGTGTGCTCCTAATCTCAGCTCGTTACCTGTATAAAAGACACCTGGGAGCCAGAAATCTTTCTGATTGAGAGGGGGTCAAATACTTTCCCTCATTAAATTGATTTCCCTCATTAAAATGCAAATCAATTTATAACATTTTTGACATGCGTTTTTCTGGATTTTTGTTGTTGTTATTCTGTCTCTCACTGTTCAAATTAACCTACCATTAAAATGATAGACTGATCATTTCTTTGTCAGTGGGCAAACGTACAAAATCAGCAGGGGATCAAATACTTTTTTCCTTCACTGTATATGATACCAAACATTTGTGTGTTTTATAGTCTTTAATACAGGATCTTTTGCTGATATGTTCGTAATGTGCAGCCTTGGTCCTCAAAGTGTTGTACTTACCTTGATGAAGTCAAACTGGTGAGTGTGCCATGTGTCTTCTGACAGAGGGTATGTGTCGTACAGAATGCCTTTGATAGAAGAGGCATAATTACAATTACATATTTACATATCTGAAGCAATTTACTCGCTGAAGAATACAAATATTCAATAATGGATACGCCAATAGAATGCATTTTCAAACTTACCATCAAAGTGGTTGTCAGGCAGGCCGCCCACTACCTCCTCCCACAGTCCTTTGAGGGGCACAATCTGTGAGTGGAGAAGAATTTAGGTCCATTTCGTTCACATTAAAAGAAGGGAAAAGTCTGAATAGAACCTAAGGTGAAGTTGAAAATCTGTCTCACTTTATGTGGCTGAGCCTTGGCCCACTCCTGCAATCTCGCGAACACTCCATCATTGCACTCAATGATCCAGTGCTCCTCGATGGGGAAGGACTCTACTTTAGTTGCGGCGATGGCCATGCCAAACCCAATCTCCAGAACCCGTCCACCTGTGGGACAAAGCGGAACAAGCATCTCAATTGGTGTTTAAGTTTATGTATCTACCTGTATTGAAGTGTTTTCCACTTTTCTAGTGCTGTGGCACCTTTCACGAAAAGCAAAACTAATAATGCACGACTTTTGTTTGTTATTTGAGGGATCTCAAAGGAATGTTTGGGGGGAAGGCACGTGATAGATAGGCCACATGCCACTTGAAGGAGTTACACAGAGTAGTCTTTCAGTAATGTGTAAAAATAGGTTAGAAGAATACCATTTGGTTTTGCCTCGCCCTTTAGGCTACTACTCTGTTATCAACTGTCAAATTGCCACCAAAGATACAATGACAAAATAATACCCTATTTACTAAAACTGGTCATATTGTATTTACAACCAAACAACTGTTCTCAATGGACCGCATTCCTCCATTCAGGCCCATGGGTGCTATGGTGACTTGAGTGACCAAAAAACTCCAAACGTTTACGCAACTTTAACGTAGCCTAATGTATCTTTTAAAAAAAGGATCAGTGATCATCATGAAACTTATTGAATGGCATGCCGTGATAAATTATTGGCACTCCCCAGCAAGTGCGCACTCGGCACGGTTCCATGTGTAGAGTAACACCTGCTGCAACCACAAGCCATTATATCCAACTCCACCATGCTTTTAAACTTCACGTGCATTGGGAGGAACGTCGCATATAAAATGTAAACGCATTGGTTTCATTAACTTTTCCTAATGTCTGCTGATTGAGTGTAATCGTCTGTATTGATTATCCTACAGCGCTGAATGAAGTGTAGCCATTGATTAGGTTATAGGCAAATAGGCTGTCCTTTACGGTCTATTTGTTTTTATACATTTGCAAGGAAAATTAATTACAGTCAGGTAAAATGTTATTATGGAACTATAAACTATCATAGAGTTCCAAAATCCATACTGTCTAGTCGTCCCAGTGCGTTCATATGGACCACTAGCTTGCACATTGTGTGTTATACCTTTTGAGGAGGCTACAGTTGCCAGCGAGTGCATGTACGGAGTCTCCCAACGTTCCATAACGGGCTTGCCCAAAATCTCCAGATGAGTGTCCGTTTCATTGTAACCAGCACCAGCGTCGTGCCAACCAGCTTTGCAGTCTTCTCCCTGTGAAAATATAGGTTGTGCCGTAGTCATTTTGGTGGTTGGTTTTCTTTAATATATGGGGGATGGACGGAGTTGCTGTCTCCACGTCGTGGCAGAGGAAGGACAGATTTAGTTGCGGTGGGGATTTATATGGGTCAGAAGTGCTGACTCTGCAATACGTCAACGAGGCGTAGGCATAAACATTAGGCCTACTACTGTTGGTCAATAAGTTGCATTCCAAGGAGCCGGGTCAATTACGTCCTAAGTGTGGAAAGCTGTTAGAAAACATGAAAGTTCAAAAATCACTGGATCACTTTTTATTTTGCTGGGGTTAATATAAGCCTCGTTGTGTGCCTATCCGTCCCGTGCAACATGTTGCAGTTATTTTTTTTGCGATCTCCACGGTGCCATACGAACGTGACGAGATTGACAGCTTCTCTGATCCAGGCAAATACATTTTAGGATCATTATAATGGCTATATCCAAAGAATTGGCAATAGAAATGAAGGTAAAACAAATGAAAATGTAAATAGTTTGCTGTCATTTCAGCTGATTGATGTGATTGTGTGTTAGCTAGCTAGCAAAGGAAAAGTAACGTTAGCCTTGCTAGATACCGTTATGTTTTTTTATTTTTTTATTTGTTTTTGTTTTTCACCTTTATTTAACCAGGTAAACCAGTTGAGAACAAGTTCTCATTTACAACTGCGACCTGGCCAAGATAAAGCAAAGCAGTGCGATAAAAACAACAACACAGAGTTACATATGGGGTAAAACAAAACAAAGTCAAAAATACAACAGAAATACATATATATACAGTGTGTGCAAATGTAGCAAGTTATGGAGGTAAGGCAATAAATAGGCTATAGTGCAAAATAATTACAATTAGTATTAACACTGGAATGATAGATGTGCAAGAGATGATGTGCAAATAGAGATACTGGGGTACAAATGAGCAAAATAAATAACAATATAGGGATGAGATAGTTGGGCGGGCTAATTTCAGATGGGCTGTGTACAGGTGCAGTGATCTGTAAGGTGCTCTGACAACTGATGCTTAAAGTTAGTGAGGGAGATAAGTGTCTCCAGCTTCAGAGATTTTTGCAATTTGTTCCAGTCATTGGCAGCAGAGAACTGGAAGTAATTGCGGCCAAAGGAGGTGTTGGCTTTGGGGATGACCAGTGAGATATACCTGCTGGAGCGCAGACTACGGGTGGGTGTTGCTATGGTGACCAATGAGCTAAGATAAGGCGGGGATTTGCCTAGCAGTGATTTATAGATGGCCTGGAGCCAGTGGGTTTGGCGACGAATATGTAGTGAGGACCAGCCAACAAGAGCGTACAGGTCACAGTGGTGGGTATTATATGGGGCTTTGGAGACAAAACGGATGGCACTGTGATAGACTACATCCAATTTGCTGAGTAGAGTGTTGGAGGCTATTTTGTAAATGACATCGCCGAAGTCAAGGATCGGTAGGATAGTCAGTTTTACGAGGGCATGTTTGGCAGCATGAGTGAAGGAGGCTTTGTTGCGAAATAGGAAACCGATTCTAGATTTAACTTTGGATTGGAGATTCTTAATGTGAGTCTGGAAGGAGAGTTTACAGTCTAACCAGACACCTAGATATTTGTAGTTGTCCACATACTCTAGGTCAGACCCGTCGAGAGTAGTGATTCTAGTCGGGTGGGCGGGTGCAAGCAGCGTTCGGTTGAAGAGCATGCATTTAGTTTTACTAGTGTTTAAGAGCAGTTGGAGGCTACTGAAGGAGTGTTGTATGGCATTGAAGCTCGTTTGGAGGTTTGTTAACACAGTGTCCAATGAAGGGCCAGATGTATACAAAATGGTGTCGTCTGCGTAGAGGTGGATCTGAGAGTCACCAGCAGCAAGAGCGACGTCATTGATATACACAGAGAAAAGAGTCGGCCCAAGAATTGAACCCTGTGGCACCCCCATAGAGACTGCCATAGGTCCAGACAACAGGCCCTCCAATTTGACACATTGAACTCTATCTGAGAAGTAGTTGGTGAACCAGGCGAGGCAGTCATTTGAGAAACCAAGGCTATTTAGTCTGCCAATAAGAATGCGGTGGTTGACAGAGTCGAAAGCCTTGGCCAGGTCAATGAAAACGGCTGCACAGTACTGTCTATTATCGATCGCGGTTATAATATCGTTTAGGACCTTGAGCGTGGCTGAAGTGCACCCATGACCAGCTCGGAAACCGGATTGCATAGCGGAGAAGGTACGGTGGGATTCGAAATGGTCGGTGATCTGTTTGTTGACTTGGCTTTCAAAAACTTTTGAAAGGCAGGGCAGGATGGATATGGGTCTGTAACAGTTTGGATCTAGAGTGTCACCCCCTTTGAAGAGGGGGATGACCGCGGCAGCTTTCCAATCTCTGGGGATCTCAGACGTTACGAAGGAGAGGTTGAACAGGCTAGTAATAGGGGTTGCAACAATTTCGGCGGCTAGTTTTAGAAAGAAAGGGTCCAGATTGTCTAGCCCAGAATATTTGTAGGGGTCCAGATTTTGCAGCTCTTTCAGAACATCAGCTGTCTGGATTTGTGTGAAGGAGAAGCGGGGGGGGGCATGGGCAAGTTGCAGCGGAGGGTGCAGAGCTGGTGGCCAGGGTAGTGGTAGCCAGGTGGAAAGCATGGCCAGCCGTAGCAAAATGCTTGTTGAAATTCTCGATTATTGTAGATTTATCGGTGGTGATAGTGTTTCCTAGCCTCAGTGCAGTGGGCAGCTGGGAGGAAGTGCTCTTATTTTCCATGGACTTTACAGTGTCCCAAAACTTTTTGGAGTTAGTGCTACAGGAAGCAAATTTCTGTTTGAAAAAGTTAGCCTTTGCTTTCCTAACTGCTTGTGTATATTGGTTCCTAACTTCCCTGAAAAGTTGCATATCGCGGGGGCTATTTGATGCTAATGCAGTACGCCACAGGATGTTTTTGTGCTGGTCAAGGGCAGTCAAGTCTGAGGAGAACCAGGGGCTATATCTGTTCTTAGTTCTGTATTTTTTGAATGGGGCATGTTTATTTAAGATTGAGAGGAAATTACTTTTAAAGAACAACCAGGCATCCTCTACTGACGGAATGAGATCTATATCCATCCAGGATACCTGGGCCAGGTCAATTAGGAAGGCCTGCTCGCTGAAGTGTTTTTGGGAGCGTTTGACAGTGATGAGGGGTGGTCGTTTGACCGCGGACCCGTTACGGACGCAGGCAATAAGGCAGTGATCGCTGAGATCCTGGTTGAAGACAGCGGAGGTGTATTTAGAGGGTAAGTTAGTCAGGATGATATCTATGAGGGTACCCATGTTTACGGATTTAGGGTTGTACCTGGTAGGTTCGTTGATAATTTGTGTGAGATTGAGGGCGTCTAGTTTAGATTGTAGGATGGCCGGGGTGTTAAGCATATCCCAGTTTAGGTCACCAAGCAGTACGAACTCTGAGGATAGATGGGGGGCAATTAATTCACATATGGTGTCCAGGGCACAGCTGGGGGCTGAGGGGGGTCTGTAGCAAGCGGCAACAGTGAGAGATTTATTTCTGGAAAGGTGGATTTTTAGAAGTAGAAGCTCAAACTGTTTGGGCACAGACCTGGATAGTATGATAGAGCTCTGCAGGCTATCTCTACAGTAGATTGCAACTCCACCCCCTTTGGCAGTTCTATCTAGACAGAAAATGTTATAGTTGGGGATGGACATTTCAGAATTTTTGGTGGCCTTCCTAAGCCAGGATTCAGACACTGCTAGAACATCAGGGTTGGCGGAGTGTGCTAACGCAGTGAATAACTCAAACTTAGGAAGGAGGCTTCTGATATTTACGTGCAGAAAACCAAGACTTTTACGGTTACAGAAGTCAACAAATGATAGCTCCTGGGGAGTAGGAGTGATACTGGGGGCTGCAGGGCCTGGGTTAGCCTCTACATCACCAGAGGAACAGAGGAGGACTAGAATAAGGATACGACTAAAGGCTTTAAGAACTGGTCTTCTAGTGCGTTGGGTACATAGAATAAAGGGGGCAGTTCTCCGGGCGTTGTAGAAAAGATTCAGGGCATTATGTACAGAAAAGGATATGGAAGGATATGAGTACAGTTCAGGTAACCCTAAGCGTTGGGTAACAATGAAAGAGATAGCGTCACTGGAGGCACCGATTGAGCCGGTCTCGGCGTGTATGGGGGGTGGAACAAAGGAACTATTTGAGGCAGTTTGAGAGGGACTAGGGGTTCTACAGTGAAATTGTATAATAAGAACTAACCCAAACAGCAATAGGCAAGGCATAATTGACATGGGAGAGAGGCATAAAGCAGTCACAGGTGTTATTAGAGAGAGCTAAGACAACAACTGGAAATAGCGATAACGTTTGGGCTAAGGCTAAACAGAATAAACAGGACAGGGTACCGTGTAAAGGAACAGTCCAGCAGGCATCAGCTGTGCAGCTGAGTGATCATAAGGTCCAGTGAACAGCAATATGTGAGTCCGAGAGCAGTTCAATGTTATACCTCAGTGCTAGCTACCCTTGTGAAAAATATCCCATTGTATCTTCTATAACTATACTGAAAAATATATAAACGCAACATATAAAGTGTTGGTCCCATGTTTCATGAGCTGAAATAAAATATTTTCCATATGCACAAAAAGCTTACATCCCTTTTAGTGAGCATTTCTGTAAGTGAGCATTTCTACTTTGCCAAGATAATCCATCCATCTGACAGGTGTGGCATGTCAAGAAGCTGATTAAACAGCATGATCATTACACAGTTGCACCTTGTGCTGGGGACAATAAAAGGCCACTCTAAAATGTGCAGTTTTGTCACACAACACAATGCCACAGATGCCTCATGTTTTGAGGGAGTGTGCAATTGGCATGCTGACTGCAGGAATGTCCATCAGAGCTGTTGCCAGAGAATTTGAATGTTCATGTCTCTACCATAAGCCGCCTCCAACGTCGTTTTAAAGAATTTGGCAGTACGTCCAACCGGCCTCACATCTGCAGACACAATTGCATTTGATCAATGGCAATTTAAATGCACAGAGAAACTGTGATGAGATCCTGAGGCCCATTGTTGTGCCATTCATCTGCTGCCATCACCTCATGTTTCAGCATGATAATGCACGGCCCCATGTCGCAATGATCTGTACACAAATCCCGGAAGCTGAAAATGTCC